CCCAGGTGCATTAGCAAGGAGCTGGATTGGAAGTGGAGCAGCTGAGATATGAACCACAGGCCATAGGGGACGCAGGCTCCACGGGTGAAAGCTTAGCCTACTACGCCACAGCACTGGCCAGATTTTTAATATATTCCTACACATCTGTCCATCTGTTGAGATCCAAAGGGGTGGTTCCAAGGATGTTTCAATGATAATTGCCGAGTATAACATAAGAGATACTTGAATTTCAGGCCACTTTAACAAATGGTAAGTGGAAAAGCAGAAGATTACACATTGTTGCTTTCAATGGCATGTAGAAAAATCTAGGTAATCTGGGGCTAACATTGTAGCTTAATCGGTTAGACCACTGCCTGCAGTGGCGGCATCCCATGTGGGTGCCGGTTGGAGTCCTGGATGCTCCACTTCTGATCCAGCTTCCTGCTAGTGTGCCTGGGAAAGCAGCGGAAGATGCCCCAAGTCCTTAGGTTCCTGCCACCCAAATGGAAGACCTGGAGGAGGCTCCTGACTCCTGGCTTTGGCCTGGTCCAGCTCCAGCCGTTGCAGCCATTTGGGGAGTGAACCAGTGCATGGAAGACCTCTCTCTCTCCCCCCTCACCCCACACTCTGTGACTCTGTCTTTCAAATAAATAAAATAAATCTTTTAAAAAAAATCTAGGCAATCTAATTTTTTGTTTATTTGGCACTCTTCAAATATTAAATATAGAGACAAGTTTCTAGGAAATACGCAGTCAAAAAGTCCTTAGAATAAACTTGTAGGTAAGGCGGTAGGCAACATAATCCCATCTGCTTCTCCCTCTCCCTCCCTCTCCCTCTCCCTCTCCCTCCCTCTCTCTCTCTCTCTCTCTCTCTCTCTCTGTATGTCTATTTAACAGTTTATTTATTTATCTATTTATTTATTTGAAGGACACAGGGACAGAGAGAGGGAGAAAAATCGATTTCCTACTTGCTGGTTCACTCCCCAAATGCCCAGGCCACAGCCAGGATCTAGGGACTCCATCTAAGTCTCCTCCCTGAGTGGCAGGGACTCAGCTACTTATGTCGGCAGCAGCAGCCTCCTAGGATGTACATTAGCCAGTGGCTGGATCAGAAGCAGAGGAACCAGGACTTGAACCGGGCACTCAGATACAGGATACAGGTGTCTTAAGTGGCGGCTCACCTACTGTGCCCCAGTGATGGCCCCTTATCCTGTCTCTCCTGATAACATTTTTCTCTAACTCCTTCCTTGAATGTGGATGCTCCCGGCACTTGTCAGGCACAAGGAAGCTTGCTGAAGATGGCTTCCTCCCCGGCTGAGGCTTGAGGAGCGCCTTACCCCTCCCGCGTTATCGTACGGCCTGCCTCTTGCCAAGGTAGTCTCTGAACACTCTGCAATCCATGATCCTCTGTCTTGAACCGCTCTAGAATCCCCAGGAGACCACAATTACTGATGTGAGAAGTCTCTGTAGCCTGTGCGTAACAAAATATATAGATCCATTAGAAAAAAAAAACCTCACTACTTTCAGCTTGGCGGAAATGTGCTGTGAAAGGTCATGAGACTCTTTTTTTTTTTTTGACAGGCAGAGTGGACAGTGAGAGAGAGAGACAGACAGAAAGGTCTTCCTTTGCCGTTGGTTCACCCTCCAATGGCCACCATGGCCGGCGCACCGCGCTGATCCAATGGCAGGAGCCAGGTGCTTCTCCTGGTCTCCCATGGGGTGCAGGGCCCAAGTACTTGGACCATCCTCCGCTGCACTCCCGGGCCACAGCAGAGAGCTGGCCTGGAAGAAGGGCAACCGAGACAGAATCCAGCGCCCCGACCGGGACTAGAACCCGGTGTGCCGGTGCCGCAAGGTGGAGGATTAGTCTAGTGAGCCGCGGCGCCGGCCAAGACTCAATTATTCTTACAGAAGTAAAGGCCTCCTAGCCTTGATGAAGGAAAAAGGAAAAGTCTTTCCGAGATCAATTTTAGTTAACAAATTAGATTTAATTCTAACGGCATACTGTTTTAAATTCGTCATGCTTCTGAATTAGCTGAAAGAAACAGGCATCTTGGAGAGCTTAAGCAAGCCATCTGCAGGGTTGTCTGTACGACTAGTGGCCGTCCTACAACCACTGAGCTCTAGGACTTCATAAATCCTGCGTTTGGTGGAATGTGAATTCCACTAATCGTACTTGCGTAACTGCTAGGCTTCCGTTGCATAGACGTTGCTCTATTCTTATTGGGACAATAAGTAGTTGAGAAAGGTTGTCTCCCTTAGGTCTGGGGCAGGCAACAGCCACTCAGACTGGGTAGCTCTGCAGTGCTCAGCCAAGGGATTCACCGGCTAGAATGTTTGCATCTTAGGATGCCCTATTCTCTTTGTGCTGCCTGAGCTGCAAATGAATTTCAAGGAAAACATGACCTAGACTTTATTTCAAATTACCCTGAAGATCCATACATCTCACTGATGCCCCAAAATGCCATGTTCATAATCTTGCTATGATGATGGACTACTTGCAGAAAGTAAATATCCCGTCAGCCACAATCTCTCTTTATTATTTTTAAGGAGGGCTAAGTTTCCATTATCAGAAGCAGATAAGGGATGCCAGCACCCATTTGTCATTCAAAATGGAACACTTACTTAGCTGGGAATGAGAAAGAAAGCTGGGGGGGTGGGGACTGAGAGGGCTGGGTTTGTTTTTTCAGTAGTGATGATAAAGTCACCATTCAAGGTCAGTGAAAATTCAAATGTGGCTCCTTCGGGTTGCTAATATTTTGGACAGGGTGGAGAGACAATTTCTCAACATCAGCTTTGGCTTTCTAATACTTCTTTTTCCTAAAAATGAGACAAGAAACAGAAACCGGATGCCTTCTCTCACCATTTCAAAGGGTAATTAGGTTCCACATCACCAGTGTAGAGCTTTTAGATCCAATTCTAGGTAGCCTTTCGTTCCATTTTTATGCATCTAGTTCTGTCTCACAATCTGCCATTCATACATGAAAAATAGGTCATTAAAGAGTGAGTGAGCGTGGACAGCAGATCAGCACCAACCATCCACCCAGGCTTAGTTCTTCCTATAGGTCTGTGTAGCAAATGCTAAAAGACACACTCAACATTTAGGGTTTCCAGACAAACAGATGGGATGACCCCCTACTTGAACACCCCAAAGGCATCTCCAAATCAAAATATGACCCAAGTGAAGTGCACCTGTTTCCTTTACCTAAACAGCCCTTCTGGGGCCGGTGCTGTGGTGTAGCGGGTCAAGCCGACGCCTACAGTGTCAGCAGCCCATGTAGGTGCTGATTTGAGACCAGGCTACTCCACTTCTGACCCAGCTCTCTGCTATGGCCAGGGAAAGCAGTAGAGGATGGCCCAAATCCTTGGGCCCCTCCACCCGCGTGGGAGACCTAGAAGAAGCTCCTGGCTCCTGGCTTCGGATAGGCGCAGCTCCAGCCATTGCAGCCAATGGGGAGTGAACCAGTGGATGGAAGACCCCCCCCCCCTCGCTCTCTCTCTGCCTCTACCTTTCTGTGTAACTCTGACTTTCAAATAATTAAATAAATCTTAAAAAAAAAAAACTGCCCTTACTCGTCTTTTTCTGCCTCAAAATAACACCACCATCCATTTTGTAGGTTGAACCATAAAAATTTTCCTTTTTTTTTTTTTTTGGTAGATAAGTAGTTGGATATTGACAATTTCAAACAAAGCAACCTTTATCGTTGTCTAGAGTGGAGCCCTCGGTGAAATCTTTATGACTCCACTCTCCTACAGCTTCCATCAGAAGGTCTGGTTGAATTCTCTTTCTCAGGTCCCAAATCCATCTTTAAAGCAACCTTCACAGCCCAAAGCATGGTGAATCGGCCTCACAAGTTCCACTGCCCACACTGCAATGGACGAAGGCGTCTTCTTTAAAACACAAGTCAGACCTTTCCACTTCCACCCAATGGCTTCCCGCTTTCCTTAAGACAAAGGCCAGACGTACCAATGCGACTCAGAGAGCCTGCACACTTCAGTCCTTGTTGCTCTTCTCTATGTCTGGTCACTGTGAGCTTCTTTTATTTTTGCAAACACTGGCCCCCCTCCTGCCTCAGGGCCTTTGCATACACTGTTCCATATGCCTGGAACACGTCTCTCTCCCACTACCACCTGGACCCTTGTCACCCAGTAACCCCACTTGATTCATGTCTCAACACAAATGCGTGGTTTCTCCCAGACTAGAGTGGAATCCTATGTTCCACATACCCATGAGATTGTTTTCTGCCTCAACACGGATTATACTTCTAAACACTTCCTCAGTGCCTCGCTAGACTCAAGCCCCACAGGAGCAGGATCATGGCTGTCTTACTCACCACCATATTGTCTTTACTAAGGCAGGGCCTGGGACTTAATGGGCACTCAACTAAACAAATATGTACTGGAGGCAGGAATCCCTCATAAACATTATGGTTGCAACTCACAATTTGAAAGTGCTATCCCTGCTCAATGATATTCTCAGGTTTGATATATCTTAATTAACATATCTATTCAGGAATTTTTCAAAGGACAAAAACAAAACAAAACAAAAAAAAACCATGCAATTAAAAAATTTGAAGCTGAAAGGCTAAACTGGAGCTGTGGACCCTTTTTGAATTAAACCCCAGCACGGCTCCCTTCAGTAGCAGTCATGGCTGTAAGAGAAATAATAACCACCAAAGCTAAAATGTATTGAGGGCCATCAGTGGGCCAAGCCCATGAAAGAAACCGAGGCTTGGAGAGGTTGGGGGACTTACTAAGGTTACACCGCTGATGAATGCTGGAGCAGAGTCACAGAGACCCAGATCCAACACACGCTTCCAATGCTGCCTTCGGGGCCGCGTCTCTGGAACACAGGGGTTCCCTCTCCACACACCACAAGGCCGGGAGCCCCACCACAGAAGCCCAGAGAGCCACCTTTACAGCTAGACGTGCAACGTCTCCAGAGCCGTCTCCATAAATTTCACAGTGTTTCCAAGACCAAGCCTTTGTCAAGCTACGTCTTGGTCAAGATGTTGTTCTTACCGGAAGAAAGAGTCTCTGGGCGGCACAGGGTTTGAACAATTTCTTCCACTCCTGAGGGTTTCCGACAGAAAACGTGATGGGGTACACTCTGTGCTCAAACTTCCTGGTATAGGAGTCAGGCCACTCTCGGAGCTGGAACACATGGAAGGCAAGGGAAGGTGATGAGACCCCGGGAGAGACGGAGAACACGTGGAGGGCTTCGGCTCTGTCAGACGGAGTTACTCAGGCAACTCAGAGTCTAACTCTCACCGCTAGTAATGTTCACCACCTGGACGACCATTTCCTCCGATCCAAATTATGAGTAGTTTAGAAAAGCAGCACTCACAGTGAGCAACGGTGTTGGGAAACTGGCACGTATATGCCTTCAAGGGGAGTAGACAGACATAAAAAACCAACTTCCAAATCCCAGCAAGATAGAGGTACACCATAACTAAACTGGGGAATATTCCAAATGTCTCATCATAAGGAAGCGGGCAAATTAATTATGATGCTTCACTAGTTGCTCATTACCACAGTGGACTAAGATCCACTCATAATAAAGTATATCTACATGTACGGACATGGAAAAATGGTTAGGACATACAGTTAAGTTTCAGAAGACCCAAACTGCAAAAAAGTATATATCATTCTGCCTTATTATGGAGAAATATATGCACACAATTTTTTAAAAAGATTTATTTATTTATTTGAAAGAGAGAAAAAAAGAGGCAGAGAGAGAGAGGTAGAGAGAGAGAGAGAGGGAGAGAGAGAAAGAGAGAGAGAGAGGGAGAGAGAGAGAGAGAGAGAGAGGTCTTCCATCCGCTGGTTCACTCCTAAATTAGCCACAATGGCCTGAGCTGGGCTGATCTGAAGCCAGGAACCAGGAGCTTCCTCTGGGTCTCCCATGTGGGTGCAGGGGCCCAAATACCTGGGCCATCTTCCACTGCTTTCCCAGGCCATAGCAGAGAGCTGGATTGGAAGCGGAGCAGCCAAGACTCAAACCGGCGCCTATATGGGATGTTGGTACTGCAGGCCGTGGCTTTACTCCCTATGCCACAGTACCAGCCCCTGCACACACATTTTAGATAGAAAATTCTGGACAGATACGTGTCAAATTATTAAAAGTGGGCACTTTGTGAGGTTGTGATGGTGGTTTCATTTTTTAAGTTTGTTTCTCTGTTTTTTAGAAGTTTATTGTGAGTATAGATTGTTTTCTTTGCATGTAGCAATTTTATAACAAAAACTTTTAACAGACTTTATTTTCTTAAAGATTTACTTATTACTTGAGGGGCAGAGTTACAGAGAGAGGGGGAAACAGAGAGGTCTTCCATCCGCTAGGTCACTTCTCAAACGGCCACAGTGGCCACAGCTTGCACCAGTACCTATTATTAAAAAAAAAAAAAAAAAAAAAAAAAAAAAAAAAGATTTACTGGGGCCGGCGCCGCGGCTCGCTAGGCTAATGCTCTGCCTGTGGCGCCGGCACCCCGGGTTCTAGTCCCAGTTGGGATGCCAAATTCTGTCCCGGTTGCCCCTCTTCCAGTCCAGCTCTCTGCTGTGGTCTGGGAAGGCAGTGGAGGATGGCCCAAGTCCTTGGGCCCTGTACCTGCATGAGAGACCAGGAGGAAGCACCTGGCTCCTGGCTTCGGATCGGCGCAGCACACCAGCCGTGGAGGCCATTTGGGGGGTGAACCAATGGAAGGAAAACCTTTCTCTCTGTCTCTCTCTCTCTCACTAACTCCGCCTGTCAAAAAAAAATTTTTTTTTTACTGGGGCTGGCACTGTGGTGCAGTGGGTTAACACCCTGGCCTGAAGCACCGGCATCCCATATGGGCACCGGTTCAAAACCCGGCTGCTCCACTTCCCATCTAGCTCTCTGATATGGCCTGGGAAAGCAGTGGAAGATGGCCAAGGTCTTTGGGCCTCTGCACCCGCGTGGGAGATCCTGAAGAAGCTCCTGGCTCCTGGCTTCGGATTGGTGCAGTTCCAGCCATTGCAGCCAATTTGGGAGTGAACCAGCGGATGGAAGATATCTCTCTCTCTCTCTCTCTCTCTCTCTCTGCCTTTCCTTTGTCTATGTGTGCAACTCTGACTTTCAAATAAATAAATACATCTTTAAAAAAAAGATTTACTTATTTGAAAGTCAGAGTTATAGAATGAGAGAGAGAGACAGACATACACACACACACACACACACACACACACACAGGGAGAGGGAGAAGGGAAGGTGAAGGGAGAGAGAGAGAGAAAGGTATCTTCCATCTGCTGATTCGCTCCCCAAATGGCTGCAACAGGCAGGGCTGGGCCACACCAAAATGAGCATCCAAGTCTCCCATGTAGGTGCAGGGGCCCATGCACTTGGGTCATCTTTCGCTGCTTTCCCAGATGCATTTGCAGGAAGCTGGATCAGAACTGGAGCAGCCAGGACTCAACCAGTGTCCATAGGAATGCCAGGGCTGCAGTGGCAGTGGCTTTACCTGCTATGACCCAATGCCGGCCTGAGGTTTTATTTTACTTTTTTAAGAGCTGTTTTATGTTTATAAAAAAAATGAGCAGAAAGCATAGAGAGGGTGGGTGGTGTTGTGGAGTAGTGGGTTGGGCCGTCAAATGCAGTGCCAGCATCCCAAATGGGCATCTGTTCGAGTCCCAGCTGCTCCAATTCCAATCCAGCTCCCTGCTGGTGTGCCTGGAAAAGCAGCAGAGAATGGTCCAAATGCTTGAGCCCCTGTACCCACATGGGAGACTCAGAAGAAGCTGTTGGCTCCTGGCTTCAGTTTGGCCCAGCCCTGTCTGTTGCAGCCATCTGGGGAGTGAACCAGTGGATGGAAGATCTCTATCATTCTCTCTATAATTCTTTCAAATAAATAAATCTTAAAAAAAAAAAAAAATAGAGAAGTTCAATATAGTCTTGTCTCCCCTGCCCCAGAGTTTCTTGGTATTAGTGGGGTACATTTGTTTTAACTGATGAACCAACATCAATACATTATTATTGACTGAAGTCCATAGTTCATGTTAGAATGTATGCTTTGTGTTGTATATGTCTATGGGTTCTGATAAATGACCAATGTCACATACCACCAGTACTGTTTCATAGAGAATAGTCTCACCACCCTAGGAATCCTCTCTATTCCACCTATCTGACTTCCCTCGCTCCCTCCCCTGAACTACTGGTAACCAGTGACCATTCACAAATGCCCTATAGCTGCAATCATATAGTATATGTTTTTTTCAGTCTGGATTCTTTCACTAGCAATATGCATTAAAGCTCCCCCCCCCCTTTTTTTTTAAAAGCAACTTATTTATTTATTTATTTGAAAGGCAGAGTTACACAACACAAAGAGAGGGCAAGAGAGAGACCTTCCATCTGCTGGTTCACTCCCCAAATGGCCACAACAGCTGGGGTTGGGCCAAGCAAAACCGGAAGCCTAGACCTTCATCCAGGTTTCCCACATGGGTGGCAGGGGCCCAAGCACTTGGGCTTAGCACATTCACAGAGAGCTGGATAGGAAGTAAAGTAGCCAGATCTCACACAGGCACTCACATGGGATCCTGGTGTCTGTCACATGCGGCAGCTTAATTCGCTGCTCCACAACATTGGACCTTGAAGGTTCTTACGTGTTTTCTTATGACTTACATCTTTAATCCCTTAATGATTTTCCATTGTATGGCTATACCACAATTTTTCTATCTATTCACCTATCGAAGGAATCTTGGTTGCTTCCAGTTTGGGGAAATTGTGAATAAAGCTTCTATAAACACCTGTGTGCAGGTTTTTGTATGGACATGTTTTCAGTTCACGTGGGTAAATACTTTGGAGTGAAGTTGCTAGGTTGTATAGTAAGCCTACATTCAGCTCATTAAGAAACTGCCCAACTGCCCTTCAAAGTGGCTGTTAACAATTTGCATTCTCTTAAGCAAAGAATGAGAGCTCCTGTTGCTCCACATCCTCACCAACATCTGCTGTTGCCAGGATTCTAAATTCCAGCCATGCTAATGAGTACCCAGTGGTTGTCTTCATTTGCAATTCCCTAGTGATACATGATGTTCAGCATCTTCCACTTTTTTTTTTTTTTTGAGGTAATGCCTTACCATTGTTGCAGCAATACTGTTCTACATCTAAGAAATTATCCAAAGGAAAATTACCAAAGTATACACTATTTGTTGTAAGGTTCTTTATTATAGTATTGTTGGTCACAGCGAAAAACTGAAACAATCTAAGAGATTGGTTAAATAAGCTCTGGGTGTATCAATACAACAGAATACAGTGCAGTCACTGGTAATAACATCCTAGACCTGCGGTCAGAAAACCCCAGCAGGACAAGGGCCAAATCCAGCATGCCACAACAGCACACGAACCCAGAAGAGTTCGATGTTTATAAATAACTGGAAAAAGTCAAAACAATATTTGGTGACAGGTGAAAATTATATGAAATCTCCCTGATCTGATCATTACATCATGTATACATATGTCAAAACATCATATGGGGGGCTAGTGCTATGGCGCAGTGGGTTAAAGCCCCAACCTGCAGAACCAGCATCCCATATAAGCGGCATTTCAAGTCCCAGCTGCTCCACTTCTGATCCAGCTCCCTGCTACAGCCTGGGAAAGCAACAGAAGATGGCCCAAGTCCTTGGGCCCCTGCACCCGCGTGGGAGATCCAGAAGAAGCTCCTGGCTCCTGGCTTCAGATTGGCTCAGCTCCAGTCATTGCAGCCATTTGGGGAGTGAAAACCAGCAGATGGAAGACCTCTCTCTCTGTCACTCTTTCAAATAAATAAAATAAACCTTAAAAAAGCCCCATCATATGGTACCCAATAAACATGTACACTTTTTATGTGTTGGTTAAAAATTAGAAAGTGGAAAAAACAGAAATACATACATGAAATTATGTACATGAAATTCCATAAGTGTAGTTCTACTGGCACACAGCCACACCCATTTTTAACTATATTATTTATGGTTGCTTTTACAGTAATAGCACAGCTGAATAGTTGGGACAGAGATCATATGACCTATAAAGCTTAAAATAGTACCTGGTGTTTACATGTGCGTGTGTATGTGTGTGTGTACTGCTCAACTTCTGTTCAGATGAAATTTAGGAATATTAAGTTTCAGGGTTGTAAAACAGAATAAAGGATGTGATTCTATTTCTGATG